CTGGGCCGCTCACCAGGCTCTGGGCCAGGGTCCGGGCGCTGTCCAGGCTGGTGTAGAGGGCAGCGCTGCCGAACTTCACGTCCAGCACCAGGGCCGAGACCTTCTCTGCTGCCTTCTTGCTCAGAATGGAAGCTGCAGGGCCAGGGGGAGCCGGCTCAGAGATGGGGAGTCCTGGGCACCTCCCTTGCTGGGGCGGGGCGCTGCTGGCACAGCGCAGCTCCTGTCGGAGGGATCCCGCGGGCAAGGCTGGGCCCTGTGCCAGGAGCCCGCTGCTCCGGGGACTGCTGCAACGCCCTGCCTTGATTTCCGCTCACCCAAATCCCTGGCACCCTCCGCTGGCCGACCCACTGCTGGGCAGCGACGCCACGCACGGCACAAGGAGTGAGCTCTTCGCTCTGAGCCAGCCCAAGGGGAAGGAGGTCACACCGGGGCTGATGGAGGCTGGACTTTGGGGTGAGAGGTCAGCTCTCTTCTCTCCGAACATGGCAGCCTTCTGGGTCCCCCAGGGCCCTCACCATTCCCAGCCCCCTCCCCGGATCTCAGACATCGCTGACCGGGTGCAGAGCGCTGGCTCCCACTGCCCCTTGCAGGCTCTTCCACCCCAAGGGGGCAGCCTCAGTGTGGATTCCAGGGATGCCTGCCCCCTCGGTGCCACCCCACTTTCCTCCGCCCCCTGCCATGGTCCCGGGGAGGCAGCCAGGCAGCGGCGCGGGGGCAGCTGCCGTGGTACCTGTGATGAGGGGCAGGCTGTCGACGGTGGCCGTGACGTCCCGCAGGCCGTAGAGCACCTTGTCCGCCGGGACCAGCTCCTCGCTTTGCCCCACGATGCAGCACCCCACCTGTTCCAGGATGCACCTCATCTGCAGGAGCGGGGAGGGGCCGTCAGTGTGTGACCCCATGTGCCCCCCAGAGCCAGGTGCAGCCAGTTACCCCAGCAGGGCCCTGGCTTGTGCCAGGAGGTGGGCAGAGCCCGGCCGCCCGCCCCCGGTGATGGGCAGAGGCACTGGGTGCAGGATGCCCAGCTGTCCGAGGCTCAGTGAGAAACCTGGATGAGGGGAGCACCAAGGCACTGATTGGCTCTCCCCCGGCTCAGGTCTCCCCCTGCCTCCATCAGATGCCCCTTTCATGTGCTGAGCCCCTATGGGCTTGCTCTGTGCCCCCTCCCATTGTTCCAGAGGCAGGGGGCACTGGATTGGGGGCAGCACAATACCAGGCAGGCCCTCGGGTCTCCCTCCCCTGGCACCGACCCAGCCCCTGCGGTGGCCCCCTCACCTGCTCGGGGCTCTGAGAGACGTTGAACCCCGGCACGGACTCCAGCTTGTCCAGCGTGCCCCCGGTATGGCCCAGTCCCCGGCCACTGATCATGGGCACCTGGCAGGGGAGGAGAAGGCCACAGGCCCTGGTGAGAAGCAGCTGGGCAGGACAGATGTGGAGGGATGATCCCCTTGGTGCCGAAGGGAACCCACACCGGGCAGAGACTCTGCCAGGGCCCCCATCTCTGCTGGCAGCCGCGCAATGGCAGACCCAGGCCAGCAGCAGGGCACCTGGGTGTACCCACTATCACGCTGCCAGCCCCGCCTGCTGGGAGACACAGGCCTCTCCTGGTTCCCAGCACACCCGCCTTCATCTCCGCCCTTCCAGGCATGGCTATGGGCTAGGGGACCCGGGCAGGCGCTTGGGGTCTCCGTGAACACCCAGGCCCCACTCAGACCTCTGCCCAGGGAGCAGAGACTGCAGGGCCTGGCACTCACCTTACAGCCGCAGGCAGCCAGGGCCGGGGCCAGGGGCAGGCTGACCTTGTCTCCCACGCCCCCCGTGGAATGTTTGTCGACCAGGAGCCTCTGCCAACTGTCGGGCCACTCCAGGACCCTTCCCGACACCGCCATCTCCCGGGTCAGAGTCAGCGTCTCGTCCGGATCCATGCCCCGCAGCCGGATGGCCATCAGCATGGCCCCTGGGGGACAGAGCCAGGGCTGAGTACCAGGGGATGGTGGCAGAGATCCGGGGGATGGGCAGTGCCATGCTGGAGCCAGCACTGGTGGGGACTGGGCAGGGTGTGACGGTCCAGAGTCCCACAGCTCTGGGAATGGGCAGGCTGGGGTGTGTTGTGGGGAGGGGATGGGCGGGAGCCTCGGCCCCTGGAGTGGGCTCTCCCTATCCAGCCCACCCTGCCCCCACCCA